AGGCAGAAAATCTTCACAGACATATTTGCTGTGTGAGATCAGATATCGCTGAAAAAGCAGTAAAGGGGAATTTGCAGAGCAGTACAAAGCCAGCAGACGTTTCATTACCTCTGAGCCTCTCAGTTTGAACCTCAGGACTATTTGATTACCATTTATTATACAACTCATTCTACTGTGGTCACCTGCAGTTAACGTTGTCTCTAGATCATGTGTGTGTATCTTTACTGATTTACCATTCACTCTTAAGTACAAGTGAATTTGTCTGAAAGTTGCTGTATAAATAAAGTTTGACGGATTGAAAATAAATATGACTTTCTGGGTACATTTTGAGTCTTTGTCTAAAAATAATGCAGTCAGGTTAGTAATGGAGTTGCACACGACTACACAATCTGTAATGGAGACCTAGATTTTCAGTGTTGAAAGCATTCTAGTTTCAAACAGTAGTACAAGCAGTGTTGTTCACTCGTGTATTTGTTGGCACTGACTTTATGCTGGAAAGAAACAGGTCAGCAAAAGTGGTAGCACACATCAGAATGTACTCAATCTGAGGACAATTAAACTTAACATTTATCTCTGTAAACGGACAAATGAACAAGTCAGACTGTGATTGATGACGAACAGTTGGGTGAAAAAAAAAAATCTTTGCCTGGTAATCCTCAATGGCTTATTTGGAAAATTACTACAGGGGAAAAGGACTCTGGGCTGGTACCTACAGCTTCATATTTTGATGCTTAAAGCCAATGACCACACTGCCATGTTAGAAAGATTTAGAATTTAAATTAGAGCCTGACCGATTAATCAGCCAGCCGATAATATCAGCCGATATTAGCACATCAAGTGAATATATGCGCCGATATTTCTAGATTTATTCACCAGTCAAATATTATTTCATTTGAGTATCATTTTATTACACGAGTTCTCTTTCACCAGCAGAGTGCGCTATATTGATTACAACAAGCATTATCAATCTCCAGTCTATATCTATCTACAGATCGAAGATTGATCTAAGTGAGATATTGGCGGATATATTGTTTTTTTCACTCCCTAATATTGATAATGGTATCGCCCCAAACAATCCCATATCGGTCGGTCCTGATTTAAATAGACCGGCTCTTACATTGGTATAAACTACAAAGGTACATGACATGTATTAATAGGATTACTGTTCTACAGTTTTTGTAAAAGCTGCCTGTGAAGGTTACATTAAAACATTAAATCAATTCGCAGCTTTGCCGTTTGACGCAACACTTCAGAAATTTAAAATAAACCTGATTCAAGTTAGAAAGATAATATCAGGAAATGGACAGAAATCGTTTTCTCATCAGTGTGATGAAAGCGCCACTGAAAATGTCTGCAAGATCAATCTTTGAAGTTAAGATCCAAACGCCAAGTCAAAGTCATTGATGTGGGAGAAGAAAATAGAGCTAATGAGCATGTGAAGTCGTATAGAGTCAGGGAGAGAGAGGGATCATTTTTTTTCTTGATACCTTTGACCTCAGTTTAATGAGAAAGAAATGCTCATAAACCACATAGAGAGATGACCTTACTGCTTGGAAGTGTACCAGCTCATTACAAGCTATTAAAGAGCAAGCGTTTGTAATGTTTAGGTAAATGGAGTCAAACGTGGTTTGTTTAACCAGAATTTATCTTTGAAACTAAACTTCTCTCAGTTCCTCAGACGTCACTGGGAACAGTTTTCAATCTACTGATAATGAGTGTAAATGGGGCACTGTTTTGGAGAGGAGGAAATTGCTGTTATTTTTTTGCGTGTGTCACCTTTTGATGATAGAGAAGTCAAAATAATATTCTTTTGGCCTCAAGTGAAGTGGAGGTAGATAATGAAAAGTGGACAAAAAAACCCAAAGCAACAAGCAAACTTTGTTTATGCTCTGGCCTGACCTTGTAATGCAAGGCTGACATAAGCAGGGGAATTAATTTAAAGTTTCCTTAATTGTTGATGAAGGGAAAGGTCAGTAGCAAATGAGGAATAAAAAAATGTCTGAAAAATACACAAGTGAGCAGAGAGTCCAGAAAAGGCAGCGAGGGGTCAGAAAGGGCAAACAGAAACAAACACAACTCATTGTTTAATACAGCTCAAGAGACATCTACACATCAAGTGCAATATATTATTGGACAGGTGTTTATTGTATCCTTAAACCATAAATGCATGAAGTATGAACAAAATATTAAGCAGTGTGTTCCTTGTAAAGCTGTAAAAACAGCTAACTAGCTTAGCCGTAGTAATCTAGCTTTGCATCTAAATCCAATGGGGAATCAAAATTGCTAGCATTCCCTATGTGGGAGCCATTATTGGATGCTATCAGAGTTTAAGCTAACATTAGCTGCTCTGTCCTAGTCTTTACTACATTTGAGGAAATTTACATGAAAACAACACCAGAATGTTTTCTCAGAGAGCATTACATTTGCTTATTATAGGCATAAATATCCCAGAGGTATATTAAGTTTGAATGAAATTACAGACTGTGGCTAACTCCATTATTACTGGAAATACAGAGAGCTTCATTGTTTGTAGCAACAGTAACAAAGAGGCTGGTAGTACAGCAACAGGTCATTTGAGGGATGATGAGCAGGTGTTGGGATCAGGTGAAGGGAACTAGTGGCAATGCAATGAGGACTAAGGGGTTGGAAAGATGGTAATCGACTGCAAGCAGAAAAGATGTGCAATAATTAGCCATGGCATTGATAGTCAACGTTGTGTTAGATTTTATTCACACAAACCTGTGAGCGTCTTTATATGAGACTAGTATTTGATTAATGGCTGATAAGTACTATCCTGATGACTCGCCCCATTGCCAGCTCCCATCTGCTACTACAACTCTCCCTGGACTAGTTCCCGCGGGCCATAACTGGTCTCGATGGGAACTGAATGTGCAATTTGGAGCGGATCGATAAAATCCTCGGTGCTTTATTACAGAGTGCTTGAAATAGAAGCAGGCATTGGATTTCTGTGAAGAAACGCATGTAGTATAAAGGTGAAGTACAATAAAGGGGTAAGATCTTAGGGTGTTTCAGGTTTCCTTTTTTAAAGCCTTGCAAAGTATTCACACAGGCAGCGCCGGAGATTACCTCTTTTCATGTCTCCCACAGGTCTGCAAAGAGTAAAAGCTTGCCTGCCTGCCTGCCTGCAGTCTGCTTTACTCTGTATTCCCAGAATAATGTTTCGGGGTATGTGTGTGTGTGTGTGTGTGTGTGTGTGTGTGTCCTTCCTCTACACATAGTTTGTGTTTATCGCTGTGTATCGCTGTGGTCCAGCTTGGCAGTAAAATGACAGTGTGGAAAAAATGATTGGTCATTTTGTGTGCTTGTTTTTATGACTCTTGATTGCGATGATTGTGGACATAAAGCCAATCAGGTCAACAGTACTCAGGGTAGCAACCAACTCTCATCATCTGATTAATTTGCCAGTGTCTCATGCCAAGGGTCAAGCCTGCATTTTTAGGCGTTTTGGCTCGATTAGTGACCGAAAACAATTGATTGTCTAAGTTGATTGCTGATAGAAGAGTCTCGTTGTTTGTCTTGTATTTCTGCAAACATATGATGCAGAGGCTTTTGTGGCTGATGCAATACAGAAGCACAGGAATGTCGACAATGTGTGTGTGTGTGTTTGCCAGATCTATATTGATCAGCTCTTGGTCAGCAACTGTGCCCGGCTAGAGCTGTGGACAGTCCATCGAAGCAAACACTATCGCTGTGATGTGCAGTGATGTGAATCTAATCCAGCAGCTGAGCTGTAGGACAAACAAAGTATGGGCATTTGGAAAAGCAATGCACAAACAATGAACAAGCACATCATTTATAGAATGGAGCTTGAGTAAAATATATTGCTAATGTAGGATATACTAAACCGGAATAAAGTATTTGAAGCAAATACTGAAATAAGTGGATGTAGCCTCTTGTTTTTTTTTGTTTAAGTGAAGTTAATTTGGAAGTGCAGCGAGTTTGCATCATTTTCAACAGCCACCAGGGGGCGACTGCACTTGTTACAAGATGACATTTGATTGCAAAAGAAGTCTATGTGAAAATAAAGCTAATTCTCAGCTGATTTATTAACCTCACTAAACATGGAGTTCAGGGTTTCAATCACTAGTTTTGAGTCATGACAGCCGGATTTTCAAATTTGGTCGAGGGACATTACTTCATGGTATGCTTTGGGCATTGCTACCAAGTCATTGACATTCAGCTACCAAGGCAACCTGGAACACACAAGGCAATTCATATGCACTTTGACATCCATATGTTGTCACTTCTGGCTTTTAAAAAAAAAAGACGGTGATGGCCAAAATCAAGGTTTCCAAACAGCAGTTCAGAAAACCATGGATGGTGTTATGGTTGGCTTTTATACTGTATATGGTTGGAGCTAGCGTCTCAGCCCCAATGTGATGAAAAATATGTTGTACAGTGCTAAAACCAAGCTGCTGTAAAGCTGCACCAACTGTACTTGCTATGTGTGGTCACATGTCTCTGGACACACAGGCTGAATAAAACATGTTATTGACCTAGTAGTCCAAGTCGAGTGATTGAGTACCAAATAACTTCCCTCTGCTTCCATTATCTGTATTTGGCCTGCCAGCTTCAGAGGGCAAGAAATTAATCAGCCCAACTCATTCAGCTCAGGCTAATTATAGGCGGAGAGCTCAGTAGACCCCAGAGTCACAGCTTGGAAACTTAAGGCTTTTCGGTTTAATGTAAATGCTTTGTAATGCCTGCCGGTGCCTCCTCTTACGTGACGTTTGAACAAATCAGTGCTTGACTTATTCGCTCTGCTTTTTATCCCTATGCAAGAGCCAGGGCAAAGCAAACGATCCATGGATGGGACCGCTATTCTGTCTTTCTCGCCCCAGCTGGCCTTGACTAAGTCTATTTCCATTATCCCGCCCATCGCTCTGCTTTTTATCCCTATGCAAGAGCCAGGGCAAAGCAAACGATCCATTTGGCATGAGTACTCTCACACCCATTTTCTCTCTCCCTCTCTCTGCCAGATGTTGCCAGGGCGATCGAGCTGCTGGAGAAGCTGCAGGAGTCGGGTGACGTGCCAGGTCACAAGCTGCAGTCTCTGAAGAAGGTGCTTCAGAGCGAGTTCTGCACAGCTATCAGAGAGGTGAGTCAATGTCAAAGACATGAACAGCTGGGATGTCAACAACAACAACAACAAGATGACTCATGTCTTTTCAATATTTATTTTGGTGACCCTTTCTTTTTTGTCAATTATTTTCTTTTGCTGAAATTTTGGTGACCAGAGATCACACTAAAGTAGAATTTAGAAAGTACAGGCTATGAAGTATTGGCGATTAAAGTCTCTTGTCATATCTGATGGGCTAATGCCCCACATTGTTACCATAGATTTTAGCTCTGGTCTGTTAGTGTAGTCCGTGCTCATTCCCCTCAAACAGCGATTGTTCCCACTCTACAGTTGTTAGCCTTAGGCTAGCTAGATGTTAGCTCTGAACTATCATGGCAGTGCTCTCCCTTTATGTGTTCAGGAGTGTGTGTTGTGTGTTGGTGTTCTGCTCAGACTCTGAAGGATCTCAGCGGGAAATCTATTTTTTAGATTTTTCCCCTCCAGTCTTTGTTTTCTCATCATTTTCCTCTAATTTAAACTAGAAAATATATCCATACCGTTCATGAATTCATAGTCCAAGATTTTCACTTAAGTGAAAGTAGTTTGGATTCATCTTTAGTTTGTAACCCCAGGCACATTTGTTTTTATTTGAATAAATACAACACTATCCATTTACTTGCTTTGTACTGAATTTGGATGGGCTAAACTTTATTGAAGTGAATATCTTAAACTTGTATAGTCTGTAAGTGAAAAAAATATCTAAAAAGAACCAGAAGTTTCTCTAAAAGTCACATGAACTTTCTTGTAGTTTTCATAAACAAGGGCTCAATAGTTACTTCACTCGACTTTTATTTAATAAAGGCGTTATATTCTTTCAGACTTGTGTCCTTGAGACAAAAACTCAATATCGTTCAAGTGTTGCCTCAAGCAAAAGCTTTAGTTTGTGCAAAGAAGTCAAGACAAAGTCGTATGCTGTGACACGTTAGACTCAGAATCTGACTTCAACATTTAAGATATATTATTAAGCAGAGCCCGGTTTCAATGAAGTATCATTTTAGCATTGAGCAGTGACTTTACTGCCAACTTTGTGATTAGCTGTGAAACCGGCTATTTTTGACAACTGCTCTATTCTGTAGGCAAAAGTAGGCGCTACTGGTGCTTTAACTAACACAAAGAAGTAAATTGCATTAATCTTTTGCTATAAAAAGCAAAAATGAGCGTGGCTGTACCTTTAAGCCACTGCTGTGTTACATCAATCCAACATGTCTACAACATAATGAAAATGTCAGATTATTGCGCTTCCTTATCGCTGCTCGAGCTCAACACCAAGAATGAGAGACACAATGAATATTTGACTGCATGAAAAAATTCACACAGAACACAAACGCTGGGCAGAACATTACACATTTGATCAACATGAAGGCCTAATAAGCTGGTTACACTGAATTTTAATCAAGCAAATCAGTGTTAAAAAATTGGCTTTAATCACATTTGAACGGCTGGGCTAAACTGTGAATAATGAACACGATTTCTTATTTCCCTCTTGTGTTAAAATGCTTTTCATTCACACACAAACTGCCACCCACTGATCCTTCATCTTAACACCATTTATCAAGAGGCCGGCATACAAGGCAGACAGGAGCAGTCACTCTACATGACACCACAACACAGGCTCATAACCACACAGCTTGTGTATTTAGTGTCCTGTCTGTTGTGATGTATACTACTGAAGCATTACTCAGTGGCGTGTGTTTGTTAAGCTAACAGGAGTTTGAAGAGCAGACAAACAAATGACAGACGCTCAATGGCCCCCGTGTTTGATGATAAATAAAGTGACTTGTAAATTGTCCGGGAATTAAAGGCAGACAATTAGCAGCCTGTATTAGTATGTAAGGGATGTCAACATATTTGACAGTAGTCTTTGTCAGTATATTTTTCATAGAAACTAACTTATTAGCTTTATTTAATAAATACAGCAGTTTAGTTCATTTCACTTTATGTCTGAGTATATAGTCCTGAAAAGTCCACCAAGCCTGGCAATGACACCAATTAGGAGAAAAACAGAGCATCACGTACTGTAAACTCCCCTGACATCATGTAGAAAGACAGAAAGGAAGAAAAAGCCCGAGTCTGCTCCTTGCACAGCGTCCAGCTCCGCTCTGGCACATCCTGACACCAACTGCACGGTCTGGCAACCGGCTGGCTGAGCTCAGTGCCAGCCGCTGGAGTGCAATGACAATGATTCACGAAAACCTCTTTAAAATAGGGGGGCCTCTGCAGCAGGCACCAGATGCCTAAAGATGTAGACCACTTCACCCACAAAGAGCAGGCTAAACATGTTGCCCAGGGAAATCCATCAGAGACTAGGTTCGGTGGATGATTACAGGTTTTGTGGGAGCCAATGATAGAACGGCTTCGTAGCCAGCTGAAGAACAGGTTTTTAAATGCAGGTTGAGGCAAACTAAAGATTACTATTATTATACAGAGCATTAAAGAAGTTCTCAATGAGGAATATCACTGTTCTCAACAGCTGTGTCCCCGGATGCTCTGTTCGAATCTGAAACAATTAGAGGAGGAAAACTCAGCATGGAGGGGGATCTTAGTGAGAAAACAGCTGTAAGCCTGGATTTAATGGCCATTTGTGTTTGTTTAATATAAGAAGAGCATCTTGAAGCTCAGGGCTCATTAACCACATGGCATCGCACTTTTTTAGCCAGAAATAGAATTGGTTTTAACGTCAACATAACATCACAATTATGTATTTATTTTGTTTTTTTCCCCATTTATTAAAGTATATAGGCATATTCTTTAAATAGGTGCCATTTGTAACCTATTTATCATTCAAATATAGGCTGTGTTTTCAAAGGTGGTTTTTCCTACTTTGCTGATGGCTGTTGAGACCCCTTCAGTTCATTTAGCAAAAACTTCAAAATTAATTGAGACATTACTGGTAATCATTTCCCAAGACATCTTCAGTGTCCATTATCTTTGTCATTGGCACAGCTGTGGTCCTGTGAGCTTCAAGTTGAGGCATAAGAAACCAAAAGAAATTTTAAAAAATGGTGCTGAGAATGCTTTCTGAGCAACATCAGTGTTAAGGCAAGTGTAAACTATAAAGAATACCTGACTACTGTTCTCTTCCATTCTCTGCACGCCGAGGGGAAAATAGCAAATATGCATCTTAGCTTCACAAACAATTCAAATGTGATGAACTTTGATAAGGAAGTGTGAATGCATTACCCCATTTTGAGAATGCATGGATTCAACATGAAAAGTTCCATCCAACGATCCATCAGTCCAACCATCCAATCATCCATTCAACCATCCATCCATCCATCCATCCACCCATCCATCCACCCATCCAATCATCCATTCAACCATCCATCCATCCACCCATCCATCCATCCATCCACCCATCCAATCATCCATCCACCCATCCATCCATCCATCCACCCATCCATCCATCCAACCATCCATCCATCCACCCATTCAATCATCCATTCAACCATCCATCCATCCACCCATCCAATCATCCATCCACCCATCCATCCAATCATCCATCCATCCACCCATCCATCCAATCATCAATCCATCCATCCATCCACCCATCCAATCATCCATTCAACCATCCATCCACCCATCCAATCAACCATCAATCCATCCATCCATCCACCCATCCAATCATCCATTCAACCATCCATCCATCCATTCAACCATCCAATCATCCATTCAACCATCCAATCATCCATTCAACCATCCATCCATCCAAACATCCATCCACTCATCCATCATCCAACTACTCATGTTTTTAAAGGCAATCAAACTAATTTGAAATGGTAAGGCCAGCTCTTCTGTCGGTATTTTCAATCACACACACCACTGTGACATTTTAATAATGCGGGTGACCTTTCTATGGAGTCCATGTCTTTTGTAATGCTTCCTCCACACATATGATAATGAGGCTTATTTCACATCAGTCTTGTAAGTCAATGCAGAGCCTGACGAGATGAACATAACTTCTCTTATGCAGAGTCAAAATCCCTTCCTGTATGTCAATAGATTTTACAGAACATGAATCAGGCTTGTTAGAGATGACAGGCTGCATGGACGGCAGGGAAAAGAGCAAATTCAGCAAACGAGGAATGAGACAGTGTTTGATGAGCTGGTTTTCTTTCCCCGCCACATTTATCAATGACAGAGGTTCCTGTGCGTTAGTCCCGCTGCATCAGCCTGAATGAGTTGTCAGGGTCAATCAGCCTTGCAAATGGGAAAGGAAGGACACAAGACGAAATGACTGGAGGAGCTAACCAGCTGGAAATGATGGAGAGCGGGAATTCAAAGAATATCGGGTTAGAGAGTCCCACTCGACCGACACTGGAAGTGTGAAAAAAAAGCAGGCCGGAGCGATGGGTCTTTCATCACCGTTTGCACAGAGGTTGATTTTCCACTTCAGCAGAGATTTTCAATCAACATAATTGACTGTGTTCTTTTTATGAATCGAGGGCGGAGGATTTAATGTTGACTCCATTTTGATGCTGCTGCCTCCCACATCACATTAAGCCAAAGGATGAAAGGTACATTAAGTCAGTGCGTGCAAGTTCAATATTTTCCCTCTGTGTCATGGTTTGAACCGCCCAGAGGGGAGTTACATTGTTAAGTCCTGGGCTGGTTCTTATCCCTTTTCCGACAACAACATCACTGAGTCTAAAACCTCTCTTTTGACCTCACTTTTACCCATCCCCCTTCCTCCTCTTCATCCCTGTGACTCAGAAAGGGAAGCAGGAAGCCATGGTTACAAACAGTGTTGTAACGTCAGTTCACCCTGCAGGCATCTCCTACTATTCTCTGGCTTTGTGGCGTCCTGTGTGTAGGTGGCTACTCCAGTATCCTCCTAGGATTAGTGTATGTTTGTCTTCAGATTTCACCAAAATTCAGAAAGATGGGGTCAAGTTGTAGCAAGGGGGTTGGTGTTTTTAGGGATGGGTGGTGAAGATTTCTAACATAAGAAAAGACAGAAAAGGTGCCTGTAGGCTGCTTTATCGCAAAGTGCAGCCGCAACAACAGTTGACTGACTTTTAAAAGCACACAGCTATCTGTTTAATGTTCCTGTCTAGTTCTGTTATTTGGGCACTGCATTCAGGTTAAGTATGTGGATTATGTGCCTGGCCTATTTCAGAGCATGCATCACTTACTAATGCAGTCTTACAACAACAAAATACATATTTCTAAATAAAGAAGTCCATAATTAATTTAAGTGATTTTAAAGCTGTTACATAAAAAATGTGCAGTTAAAAAAAATAGTCAAACAACTATATGTATGTGGAAGAGCTTGCCCTTAGTGGTTAATTTATGTAGAATTGTCTGATATTTACATAGCATTTAGCCTCAGTTAGCTTGTTGTTTCCTTCTTTTGGATAGTCTACAAGTGTTCTATTTTTACTTCTGCTCTTGTAGGTGTTGTTTCCAGAGACAAAAGACAACCTTTTTTTGATGACAAAATGCTCAAAACTCAATCAATGCTCTCTGCCCAGCGCCAAACAACGGACGTTAAGCTAGTCATAAAAGACGTGATGAATCCTAATTCTTATACCAGCTGCCATTTAAAGAATTTTTTCTAATATGTACAACTTAACGAAAGGATTTTATCTCAAAGTTGTCTTTTCACCCTGTTCAGTTGAGCTAACTTGGGCAAAAAAAATATTATAACCATACTCTACTACTACTCTTTTTATACTATGGTTGTATAAAAAACACCCACCCTGAAGTTAAAAACTTCTCTGCTCAAACTTTAAGTATCAGGCAAACACTTTACACCATGTGAGCTCACTGAACTTTAACAAGAGTCACAACCTAGTTTCCTGTTATATATTTAAATATGCTATGGCACTGTCAGGGTGCAGAAAAAAGGAAGAAAAAATCTAAAATTCCATCTTATTAATGACGAAAGAGTGCAAAAATGTATTATGCAAGTTTGACAGGCTGCTCCCCCTGTGCTCAATTACGCCTTCAACTGCAAAATAAGTTTTAAAATCCATCAACGAAGCAACCTGGGAGTGAACTAAGAACACTCTTTGTCAACTCACCATTACAAGATATCAAACATTACATCAAAAAAGTGCAGCTCTGTATGTGCAGTACCGTTAGAAAGGGGCCATTACCAAACATTTACCTGACACAGACAGATGTTTGAAAGCATAAAAGCCATTACTTTAACATTTAGACAAAGCAGGTAATTATACAGATTTCTTGTTTGAGAATTGCTGGGAATAAGTGACAGTTGCAGGTAGAATAAATGAGTGTTGGGGTAGAGTACAGAAAAAGTAAAAGTGAGGGGGGGGGGGGGGGTGGAGGGTGGAGGTAGGCTGGCAGTGACAAGCAAAACCTTTCAAGTCGTTTATAAAGCTCTGCTCAGCTTCGGAAAGTGCAAAGGTGGAAAGAAGTCCCCAGGAAAGCTGTCATTTGGGAGTTGTGAATGTGTGTTTGGATTGCAGGCTTCTTTTCTCCCAATGCATCAGCGATATGAATCCATGCTGCAGTTTGAAATGAGAAGCTGCACTCTCACAAACCACTCTGTTTCTGTCTTTTCTTTGAGATTCAGGAGCAAACAAGGCGACAGAATCGCATGGATATTTTTTCACCAGTTCTCTGAGATCCCTACATACAAATATCTCCGGGACTGTACCCTATAAGTATACGTCCTTTTGATCATTTTTGATAGAAGCCAGGGAGGGGAGCCTTTGTTATGTCGTTCTGTGGTACGTCAAAGATACCAGACGTGTTCGCTTCCAGGCAAGCTGCCATGCTTTGATTAGAGACATCATCTAGAGAGCGTAAACAGATGATTAAAATTCATTTCAGAGCCACGGCATCTGATATGTCACAGACGATAGTGCTGAGTTCAGTTTGCACAAAGGAAAGACAGAGTATATCATTACGCTGATTAAAATGTGATTGCTTGTTCTTCTTTAAAAACTTCAAGGCTTTTCGCATCACATTAATACAAAATAAATGTGTTAGTGCTTGGAAAAAATACCTCCTCTGAGAATGTTTCAATCATCCCACATATCTGTTATTTGTTTATTCTTCTCCTTCTTCCTATCATGGTCAAACTGTTTTTTAAAATCCTAATGTTGAAGTATACACACTGCCTCAATTGAGATTAAGTTAATTAGCTTCATTCAAATGTTCCCCAACAAAAAAGGCAATGGTGGCCAAGACCATGCTTCCAGCAGCCCAAAAGATGTCCATTGGGATCCAACTGGGATGCAAATGCAGATACAAAGCACATACAAATGATCCAGAAAAAACTGAAATGTGCTGAAAATAATACAAATTTTATGTATAAAGGGGCAGTTGCCGCATGTCATTACCCACTCTCTCTCTCCCTGATTTTCTGACTCTGTCCACTATCTCTAAAATAAAGGCTTAAAAAAGCCCAAATGTATACCTTTAAAAACGTTATTTATTGAATCATACAGTAAATACATCAACAAAAAAAAATATGCTACAGAGAAAAAGCTGCATTTTCATTGAAACAAAAGTCTCCAGGCCTGTAGGGGCAGTTATGGAGGCAATCGTTAAAGCAAGAGCGTTGGCCGACCCAACGAGAGTCAGCTATAGGTCTGATGTACTTTAGAGATTATCTACTTATCAGAAAACATTTCTCCATCAAATGTGATCCAGTTTCACCAAAACACATGTATAATGTTAGAAAGTTTTGTGTTTTTATGCAATCTTTTTAACTTTTTTGTCACAGGGGCCTAATCTCCTAATTCTAATCTTTGCACCATTGTAGCAAGTTTGCCCTTCTTAGCCATCCTAAACCTTTGAAATGTACACTAGCCCCCAAAAAAACCTCTGCACCACCTCTATCTTATTCTCTCTTTTACCCTTTGAACAAGCTCAATTGTAAGATGTCTTTTAAAAACACAGAAAGGTCAGCTGTCTGCATGGATTCTGACTGAATCAGCAAATAGGCAGGGAAGCTTGTTTTTCACCCAACTACTGTAACTGGGCATACAGAAATCCATTTCTTGGCACCAACTTCCGACTCCCAGCAGCAACGCATAACCTCCTGTCCTAAAGACATTGTCTGCTGTATACAAAGTCAGCACCAGCTTCTATTTCCTAAGCTGAAGCCATTTCCATTTTCAAAGAAATATATGGTGCTGCACACACAAAGAGCACTATTAGGTTTCATTATGTTAAGATATACACAAATATAATATTCAAATCTGGTACTACTGCACACTAAAACCTCTTCAATACACTAAGTGAAATGTTCCCTCATCTTACGCATTTTTCTGATTTGTCACATTTCAAAGGGGATTTCAGATGCGACAAAGCTTCAGTGACGCTTCATTTGTAGGCAAACATAATGAGATCTTCATATTGTTTACATGGGTAAAAGACCAGCTCTTTATGGTTCTACAGTTTCTACCAAATATACAAAACCTCTTGGTCTGAGTTTCCAGGCGTTTTCTATCACTCGGCCTCTTACTGCTGTAATTGAACACCGTCATTTGACTATGGAAATGAACAGTTTGAGTCAGGGTTTTCGGTTTCCAAACATGTGAATCATCATTATAACACCTGTCTCTCTCCGTTTCTCGCAGGTGTACCAGTACATGCATGAAACAATTACAGTGAATGGCTGTCCAGAGTACCAGGCGAGGGCCACAGCCAAGGTAAGAACTTCTTCTTTGGGGATCTGAATCTCAGCTCTACAGCACTCATTATTAGCAATAAAAACTCTTATGACTGAAACTAACGAGTGATGAACTATCTGTTGATACCATTACAAAGAGATACCGTTCCCATCTTCTCCTCTGGTCACAGCTGAACAGAATTAGTGAAGTCTGGTCTACACTGCTAATGGCCCTCATTAAGAGTGTATGAGTGTAATTAAGCTATAACACGTAAGAGTGCCAATTCTGTAGTCATGGCAATGAATTCCAAAATCACATGCTAATGGTTTCCATAGTAGTGTTTAAGCACAGTTTCATTGTTGCTCCTTCAGATTAGCTGTTGAGGCAGGAATTTCTCCTAAATTTAAAGTTGGGTATTAAAATGTCCTCAAGTTTGTCCTCTGGTTTACAAAGGGGGTTCCTGAGACATACTATAAATTAACTAAATAGATCCTGATCAATCTTCAACCACTCTCTGTCTAATACATGTAGAATGTGTATATAAATACACAGACACCCATGAGCTGAATAGGTAACCCTAATCCAAATTCATACAATCCAGGAGGCTTTTTTCCCCCACAGCAAACGCGAATCACTTGTTCACTTTTGCCTTATGAAAAGCAGTCTGCAAATTGCATAATGCGCTTAAAATGTAATTTATTTTCCTTCAAAATGGGTCCACTTACAGTTTCAGCTCTTATCCTTATTTCAACAATCTTCAGTCTTTCCATTTGAGCAGCAATTCTTTTGGTTTTGCACAAAATGTTCTTCCTGAATTATCCAATTAGCAGCCTGAAGATTAAACACACATTTTGTATGCTAGTATCAACACTGATGTCGTTTTATATTCTGTTACACAACCTGGATGATAAATGACTTCTGTAAAACAATATGATGATAGAAGCATATTTGTTTTGCTGTGACAGATTCTCTGGATAAGATTGATTTCTTCATTTTGCTCCCTTTGAAAGTCCTCAGTATGCATTCAAACCGAGATAAATAATCTCGATTTTCACTTTGCAGGCTTTGATATTTACCCAAAGATTCATTGCTCATGTAAGAGCTTTTTAGGATGACAGCTCATATCTTTTCATTGATTTATTTTATATTAGATGTCAATCATTGAAAAAGCCCTCTCTGTGGTTCTTCCATTCCTCTTTTTTTTGTGGATGGCAGGTTAGAAAACACCACATGTTGAGGACAAACCCACAAAGGACACATTTTCAGGTGCAGCTCGAATAGAATAATCTAATTTTGGTACACAAAAGAGATGGGCTTGACCTGTTCACTTTAGAAGGAATCGTAATCAGCACATCGCCTGCGAGAGACACGGGCTTTCATGGAGGAAAACAAAGAGGGCAGGCTTGTCTGATTTCATGCGGAGGATGAGGATGAGGATGATGATGATGAGATGCGGGTAGAACAAAAGAGATGAGAGCATTCTCTCCGTCCTTCAGAGGTTCGGTGTCCAGCTGGGTCCACTCCTCTTCAGTGGGATACATCACAGGGAGTAGGTGGAGGACAGGAATTGAAAATGATGAAAAAGAAATACCCAGAAGGAGAAGCATCACAGTGTGGGTATGAAGAGATATTGTACTAGACTTCAAATGCAGAGAGCTGCTTTTGTTAGCATCTCTAACACTTAGCGTTTACAGCCTGACAGTGAATTCAAATTGATCACAAGGTCCACGGAAAATATCAACATATCAAGAAAAACCCTTTTTTTTTTTTACTTTTTTGTTGCAGAAAAGATTGTAGCTAGGAGATGATACGCCAGCTAGCTTGCCTCTCACCAGAAGTCTTCAAACGCTCTCTAATTCACAAGTTTATATTTTAGTTCATAAATATGTACACAGAAATAATTTCAAAAACTATCTTGGAGGATTTTTATTTTGAGATGAGGGCAAGGTTGTGTGCATAAGGTAGCTATACAGCCACGAGGTGATTAGCGTAGCTTAACTGGCAACTGGAAGCAGGGAGAAACAGCTAGCTAGCCCAAAGTTTAAAAGGCGCTCTTTCATGGCAACTTTCTAAAAGGCTACGCATGCTAGCACCTTTTAAGCTGACTCATTAATCCACGTCTCTTTTTAGTCGGTTTTAGCTTGCTTGTCTGTTAGCGAACACTTTACTCTTGATTCAAAACCTTTCTGTTTGTACGTGTCCATTAGTGACGCACATTATTCGAGTCACATTTTTAAGATAAGATACTTCCCTGTCGTTTCAAGCCAAGCTAAGTTAAGCTAATTGCCCGGAGCCTGCATACTTGAAAACACAAAATATTGACGCATAGTCCATATTTTTATTTCCCCCTTTTTGAGAAAAGCAAACAAGTGGCTCTACGTCTGTGTGAAACTATTCCCTGTATATGAAAAGGATGTCCAAAATAAGTAAATTTGCTGTCAAAAGCAGCTGTCATTTCTTTCAATGCTGCATTTGGAATATCCTGTCATTTGTGAAGTGGGCCCCATCGTCTGATAATAAAAAAAGAAAACGTATCATCATGTGAATAGAGCAGAGTAATTTCTCTCTACAAAGAAACTGTGACAGTTCAGCTGGAGGGTATAAAAAAAGAAGTGTCTGTCCTTTTTTTTCTAAGCCTGAAGCAACCATGAAGACATGATTTAAGCAGCTTTAAAACTTCTTCCTGCTTTTTTTTTTCTCTCTCTCTCTTTGCCCAAAACTTTTAAGAAGTTACCGCTTTCAAATATGAATTAAAGTTGCATATCCCCAGCGCAATTAAACACACAGCTAATGGCCTGAGCTGGCTTAGCTGAGGGGACACTCAGAAACTAGTAGGAGTAGCGGATGTTTTAATAACTTTTCCAACTCTCTCTAGAGATCACGGCTAAACTAGGCCACAGAGCCGATTGCATCCAATCAGTATCATATAGTCTTAAAGGGAAAAAAAAGATGCATACTTTTGCAATGGTATTGGAAAAGAAGTCTATAAGCTGCTGTGGCAATACTGATGAAATGTGTGAAGTATGCTTCTGTTCCTGTACCTCCCGGGTGTATTAGTAGTGATATGGAAAATCTCCTGACAGTTTTGATTTGGGTTTCACCTGCACAACGCAATTCCTTTGATTGCTACGTTAATTAAATCAATCTAGCTTCTAATTCTTGGCTCAAGGCCCTCATTACTTTTAATGGAGCTTATGCGCTGTAGAGAAAATAATGGGAGCTGATGATCGAGCAACTTCAGATGCATAAAGTTGTGGTTACAGAATCAGTATCCTATAGCAGGATTTTCATTTAAAATGCCTCCAGTGTGGCCGGCCATCTGCCAGATTCTTTCTTTGTTCGCGGAAAGCAAGATAAAGTTGTGAAGGTCGATGTGCCGTGAGGCCCGGGAGGTGCCGGCGTGCATGCTGAGGAGCTGCCTTTTAATTTCACAATGGGACAGGAGAGGGAGGCCGGGAGAGAGAGAGAGGAGGGTAAGGAAGAAAGGGAGAAGGACAGAGAAAGAAAATAGAAGAAGGGAGTGAGGAAGTAACACAACAACCAGAGTAACACAGGCAGCGGGAGAGGATAGAGAATGAGAGAAACTGTTTGAGCAGGAATAAATGTGGATATGAAGATGAATATGTAAAAGAGAGCAGAGATGCGGATGCTGCCTGGAGGGAGCGTCAAAGACCTCAAGGTGCCAAGCTACTTGCGTGCTGCTGGGGAATTTGGATGTACATCCGCAAAGCCTCCCCCCCCCCTCTTCTTTTCCTGATCTACCTCACACATTATAGATGATGCCGACCTGACAGGAGGGCACCTGTGGCAACGCATCTGTGAATCAGTGGGCCCCGGGTTGTCTCACTCTCTGTTCGTCTGCCATTAGCTATCCCAGGCTCGGCTAACAAGCTCCACGCTGCTTTGTTCTCATGGTACAGGGCGCAAGGAGCTTGGCTTGCGCTTCAAAGAAACCCCACAGACAGCAGGCAACATCAAGCAGCTGCTGGAGTTACTGAGGGTTGAAAGTTGTCTGGCTGCTCCTCCACTGTGAACTTGGATGTGTTAATCCTTGTGCTCGGAGAGCCAGAGAGTTTCTCATGTGGAGTCCTAATCCTCCAGCCGTGACTAAATCCAAACTCTTTGTAATTGATGTCCACCTTCAGCACCAGATTTGCAAACATTTTTAGTTAACTCCCTTGCATTAAAAAAAATCTAACAACAAGACATTTATCTCTGTTGATTGTCAGAACAAAATCTAAACTTTGTGAGTGAGGGGAATGCATGAGGAAACCTTCTGAACCTCACATGCACCTCAGCAGTAAACAGGAAGTGAACTGTGACCTCTCCAAAGAACTGTCCAGTTTCCAAAACTGGCCCTCTGGTGGCCAACCCAAGTCCCTACAGACTGAGACACTGCTGGTTGAGAAAGCATTTCCGATATGGCGAGTGCCATCATGCTCTTGTTGTTTTTTTTTTTCAGTTTTGATGTAAAGGAGATTTTTTTTTGTTGTTGTTGTTAATCAATTCCCAATCTCGTCTTTTTCCTTCAGGCTACAGTTGCAGCCTTCGCAGCCAGCGAAGGTCACTCCCACCCACGGGTCGTGGAGCTACCCAAGACGGAGGAAGGGCTGGGCTTCAACGTGATGGGCGGGAAGGAGCAGAACTCACCGATCTACATCTCGCGCATCATCCCCGGAGGTGTGGCCGAGAGGCACGGCGGCTTAAAGCGAGGGGATCAGCTCCTGTCTGTCAACGGCGTGGTAGGTATACCAACACTGACATTATCATGTTATATTTTTGGGGTCGATTTCTGCTCTTTATTGGATACGGAAGCTGAAAGAGAAACAGGAAATATTGGGAGGAGACAGAGTGAAGGAGACTGCTGTTTGGGGGGAAGGGGTTTGATTCATTGGAGGGAGGGAGTGTAAATAAGCTTCTTGAACATATGCAATATTTATGCCTGCTCTCTTAATTGAAATATTTCCACAGCTTTCCACAGAACAGTTCTGAGCTTGATTTGTAGTTTCGATTTATGACTCAACAATCAGGAGAGCGATTGAGATCAGAGGGCCTCCAAATGTCTCGAGAAAGGAGTGAAATCATTTCTCCAGCCGCTCATTTGCCCGTAATATCACTGGATATTAAAAATGGAGGAGTTACTATTTTTACCGATATATTCAAATCAGCTTCCTTTAAAATGCAACTCTCTCTTTCTCTCTCTCCGTTGGCATAAAAAAAAAAAAACCCTGCAGAGTGTTGAAGGCGAGCACCACGAGAAAGCGGTGGAGCTGCTAAAGGCGGCCAAGGACAGCGTGAAGCTGGTGGTCCGCTACACGCCCAAAGTGCTGGAGGAGATGGAGGCTCGCTTCGAGAAGCTCCGCACGGCCCGGCGGCGCCAGCAGCAGCAGCTCCTCATGCAGCAGCAGCAGCAGCAGAACCTGTCCTCTCAGCAGAACCACATGTCGTAGGTGAGGCGCTTCATTGCTTTAAGGGTGAGGGAGGGGGGGGGGGCGGGGCGGATGCCAAGGAGCACAAGGTAAAACACCGCAGAAGAAGAGGATGATTAAATGAATGGAAAGCCAGTAACTCAACCACCTGTTTTCACACCCTGCCCCCAGTTAAAAACCACAAAACTTTACATCGGGCACATAACTGATGGACTAGAGATAAAGAAAGGCTAAACCTTCTTTGCGATATCTTTTCTGCAGTAGAACCCCTTTGAAATGTGCTTGTGTGCTGGCAAGCAGTGTTCACATCTTAGCATGAAGCCACATATACCTCAGTGGTACAATTTGCAGACTTTACCCCTTCTGCTTCTGCTTCCGCGCTACGGCCTGTAAATTATTCAAGCTTAAACCGATTATATTTCAGGCTCACGCTCCGCAGGTATGTGGTTTAAGTAGATACAGCCTGCGATGCTGCTGCGTGCTCGAGGGTCTTCATACCTCTCTGCTTAAGACAATATCTTTGGGATCCAAATTTAGCACAAAGCCGTGCCCTTCCTTTTGCACAAATGCAGACCTTCCCTGTGTAGAAACAACAAAACTTTTCAGACACTAATCAGACAAGCTGAATCATATCACGCTGCAGTTGATTCTACCCAGACTTCTCGAGTTATTTGAAGCATGTCTCTGACGTATGCGAGGCGGGCATGTGTCCAGAGATCTCATGTGGCACTGCCTGTTTGAAGCTAAATCCCTCAAGCGTCTCTCTTGTCTTGCACTTGGCACGGAGCGGCTTGGGAAGGTATTTAGGAGCTTGTAACAGTGTGTTGTGGTGGAGCCGCAGACAAGGGGGGGAACTGAGCAGGGATCGTGTTTTAGCGACGCCGGGGCCTGCTGACCGCAGAGATTTTTGCTTCGACGGCCAAGTGAGCCGCCGACCAAGTGTCACGCACAAGCAGACAGGAGTGAAACATAAGCCCACCGGTTTGCCTGGGATTCATCCCTCTGTGTCCTCCCCGTCTGTCTCTGTCTGCCACACACAAACACAAGAGCCAAAACAGCACAACTCCCCGGGTCAAAAAGAAGTCGATCATTACCCACATAACCGTCATTCATTTAAAATACCTCCTTTGGACATTTTCTAAGCGGTATTGTCGTAGTTTAGAAGACGTTTATCATCTATTCATATTACATAAAGCTATTTTAACAATGAAAAACAACTTACTACAACTTTTTTAATCCAATGTAAGCTGAAAGTCAACACAATTTTTGGTTTCACTTCTATTAATCTTTCACGTCTTCCAAGGTGGAAAATGTTACTGCTCTTTTTTTTTGGTGTGGAAAATCTCAGCGCTGTGACTCTGCAGCATAAATATATGTAAGAAATACTGTACCTCCTCTGAGAGTTCATGTGCTCTACCGGAAATTGTGTATCTTGCAGCACTGTGTATCTTTTTTTTAATAAAGTTTATCACAGGTTTGTTTTTGCGGCATGAGTACTTGAAATGTCTGCCTCCTTTGAGAGTCCATGTGTTGTTTTTAAAGAGTACTTTCTGTTCTTTGTGAGGTATTTTCACAACACAACATATCAGAGCGTTTCATAAAATGCTGCGAGTATTTGGTTGTGATTTTTAAGTGACACACAATCAAAAGTTCACTCGCTTACTGAGTGAACGTTTGACCCTCTTATTAAGAGCCGGTGTGTCCTGGTGTGACTCAGAGCTGTGTTGTGTTAAGTTTGTCTTTCAGTCATTTATAGTAAGATTGCATCTATAGTACCTCCCAGTATTTGCAGCCTTAACAGTTTAAATCCTCTCTGTACTGTCTCACAATGAGGAGACCGATCAGATACACCAAGCTAGCTAACAAAGCAGCCCTCACTCACATGTTACAAACATTTCTCCTAATCAGCAGGTTTACACAGATAAATACACATTCAACCCCGGAGTATTGATACATTTACACTTGTTAGAATAAAGTGCCACATAAAGCAAAAGCATCAAAAGTATAGAAATGCTTACCTTCTAAGGGGAAGGTCAAAAGGCCTAAACCAGGAAGTAAAGTTACAGGAAGTGGTAGACATACAGTTAATAAAATAAATTAGTTTGAATACTTCCTGTTGAAAAAAAAAAACATTGAAGTTTATTTCTATAGCACATTTAAATCATTAAAGTGCATGATAAAGTGTCAAAATGTCAAGCTTAACTTGTATTAAAAGCCGGTCTTCAACAAGGATGAAAAGGATTTTGAAGTGTGCAGTTTGAGGAATTTACACTTTCCATAACCTTCATATTCAATCCCCTAGACTAGAGAGAGGTGAGGGCAGGTTTGTGATTGGTGCAAATAGATCCCCCTTCAGGCATTGGACAATCTCTTTGCAAAGTTTATAAATCTATGAAGCATGAACATTTTGCTGCTTCTGTACCTCATATAACTCTGCTAAGCTCCTCCCACCAAATAAAGCACAAAACATACGCACCAATAGTTGTTACTGCAAACTGTCTGTTCCATTCAGCTGGTTATGTCAGACTATGAGGAGTGAAACACTGACAACCGAGCATAAACATCCCAAAAACGTTCAGTAGTTAAGTTCTTGTCTTAACTTTCGATCTATCAGAAGGTCCTTACTTTGTTTCAAAATAAAAGCAGGGTTAAATTCAAACGGCAAGAAAAGTACCACCAGCTTAAGACAGTACTCCTGGCAACAAAAAGAATCTGTCTCTCTCTGTCTGAACTGTCAGCACGCTCTAAGGCATTGCTCTCAGTATTTGTCTCTATTTGTGTGATCTGCAGGATGTTCCAAAAGAAGAAGAAGTGAAGAAGAGAGAGACAAGGTGGATCTCAAAGACCATCCGTGTGCGTCGAGGATCCCAAAAAAAGGAATCTCTCTTCTCCGTCGTGGAGGAAAAAAACCAACAAGTAGAAGACTCTTTGACTCACTCTCTGTCCCTTCCAGTGTACCACCGATTACTGAGCAAAAAAAACCCACAGAGAGCCGTCATGAAACCGGTGCTTTGAAGAACAAGAATGAGGGAGTTAAGCACTGAAGGTCGTCCGTTTTAACTTCCCTTTTATAAGTTGTACTCCTGATTGTGACTCTTACTGAAACTCCTTTTTTTTTGTGTTAGTTGTTTCGTTCACAGGTCCATTTTCTAATCGCCATTTCTGCCATAGATATCATTTGTACAGTGGTGTTTCTATTGATTCCTCAACTGGTGCTTGTGTCTCCGTATGAATGACTATTCCTTTCTTTTCTTTGTGTGTGTAAAAATCTGTCCTGTTTTGGATAAACGTGAACTCTTTTTTACCTTCTATATTGTAGCAGGAGAGATTTTGTATTTTGTAGGTTTAGCAATAACACACCTTGTTTCGTTTTTTGACATTTCACTCATTCAATCCACGATCGCATACATACACAGAGTTTATGGCATCCAGATGTAAAACACTGTCGAGCAGAACTGGGTCTTATGTACTGTAAGGCAGCTCCTGCTGAGTCCAAATGGAATCTGCTGTGCCATTTAATGAGATTATTGATTTACAGGTGGCACCAACGATTAATGTGCAATAACTGCGATTATTCACAGACTTTTTAAGCTAACCCCTACTGAGATTTATTTAGAAAATATATGTCACCGAGAGATTTAACGAGCTGAATGTCAAGTTTTGAACTGACTTTAATCCAAATATACCAGATTTGTTTATATTCCAGATTGATCTATTTAAAAGTTTATAGCATCAGAGTTTAACATAAAGTTTATTGCTCCTTTTTAATATTATGTATTATTTTTATTATTACTCAGATTCTATTCATGTAGATCTATTCCTTTGCGTTTCTGTTTGGACAATCATTTTTCCTCTGTACCTTTACGAGATCTCTGCTTTTTCAACTTTTCTTTACCAGCACAAATGCAGATTTAAAGTGGTCATCCGCCTGGTCTGTGTTTATTCTCTAACGCCTCCGTCTTTTGGTGCTAAATGCTTGTTGTTTTGTTTCGTTTGGTTTGCACTGCACTTCCTCGAGATCACTCCTGTGTTGATCTTTCTTCTTGTGTTTTCTGTAGTTTTTTTTTTTGTTTGTTTTTTTGTCTTTGCGTGGGGCTCTTTTGTATTATTTGCTCAACCATGCAGGCTTTACCCCTCATGCTGTTTCTGTTTATGTTGATTCCAGAAAATTTAAAAAACATAAAACACACCACTTCCTGTATGCTAAAAGAGAGACCTTCCAGGCGCTCGCTGCATGTCAAGAATGAAAAGCTGTCATGACGTCATCGATTTATATTTTCATGAATTGCAGATTATTTCTTTGGATTGCTTCATGGATACATTGGTTTAAAAAAAAAAAAAATGTTTTATCCTTATCTATAATACATCTAATTGCACAAGACCAGCTGAGCAAAATTATTTTACATGCATAACACATGCTGAGCTGAGAAATATCCTCAATGACCGGTCAGCACTGAGGTAGCATGGTTTTGGGTTGCCTCGGTGCTCAGGTTATAGAATTTTTTTGTCCCCTTGCTACACTTTACAAGCAGAACATCCCAACTAAGCAGATCCCTTTTTGTATCTTCAAATCACAGGTACTCTTTCTTAATTGACATTTTTGAAGCTGATGGTCCTGTACTTACCGTAAAGATTGAAAAAAAAAGACAAACTGTTGATATGCAATTGTTATACATACTATATTTGTATAAATAAATCTATGTGCTTGTGTACAGTGAATGCTTTGTCGACCCTTTCTTGCCGTCCCACAAATACCTTTACAGCATCATTTTAAGGTGTCTGTAAACAGAAGTCTGCCTATAAATGAAGGATTTGTTAGCTTTGTTCGTCAAGTTATTTGAGAGCTCTTTGGTTGCATGCAGGAAAACAGTTCACACCGAGAACAAACGACGAAGGACGCATCAGTGGAAATTCAATCTCTGAACCCGCTAGTTATGTCTGCCAGTTAGCCTATTCAAGTCTTTAGCATCATTCCTTAATCAGCTATTTATAAATCGAGATCAGCAGTTAAAGTTGTCTTTCATCTATTCATATATATATAAGTAACTTGTCAGACTACTAACAATAACAAACTGTTAGCCTAAAAATATAGAAAACTATAAGTAGGCTGTAAGGCTGTAAAGTTAGCTATATAGTATATGTAAGTAGGATAGGTAAAGGATAGAGGTAACAACATGTGGGCAGATTTAAAGCTAACTACATGTAGCTATGGGTGGGTGTAGGCTACTGGTATACAGCTAGCTATGGGTAGGTATACAAGTAAACAACTAACTATGGGTAGGTACAGGTATTCAGCTAACTATGGGTAGGTACAGGTATTCAGCTAGCTATGGGTAGGTACAGGTATTCAACTAGCTATGGGTAGGTATACAGAATACAGCTAGTAATTAGTAGGTATAGCTAGCTATGGGTAGGTATACAGGTATACAGCATAGACTGTAAATATAGCAATGAGTAGGTATATAACGGTAGGTATACTGCTTGCTAAGGTGGCAGGAAACACTCGCTTAAGGTATGTACGTAAAAATGTAGGTATGCTGTTTTAAAATTACAAGAATCTTCCATTAACTCCTCGTAATGTGTACATTTTTAATTGTAGACTATAAAACTATCCGTTAGACTGGCTAATAAGTACCCATAGTCAGTCTCCATTTTTGGCTGAAATATTGTAGCATGTAGGATTGGTCCAAATGAAGAACAGCTTGTCAGTGATTGTGTCTTAATTGATCTGAGAGCCACCTCTGAAGGTGAAGTGATTAAACCTGATGTAGTGAAATGTCTCTCTAAAGGCTCATCCGGGTTTTAAGACCTGGAACAGAAAGTCAATGGCCTTTTGTTAGCTCTATACAAAGAGCAGACACTGAAACTAACAAAAGAGACTCTTGTGAGTGGAAGGTATTAACCTTAAACAATGACAGTGTAAACACTAAGCAGTGGTGTTCCTTTCCCATGTTGTACACAGAGTCTGCTGTTATCTTCTACGGAGGAATAACCAAAACCTGAAGTGACAAAAGTCACAGTGCAGGTGACAGGTGACAAATCCTTCACCTGTCTTTGTAGCTCTTAATTAGCAGTATAATGCAACACCTTTCAGGGTGTTATATAGTAACCATACTGCAAACAAAGTGCTCCAAAGGATCACTCGTATATTCAATTGAGAATATTTCCATTTACTAATCAACCCTCATACTCTCATGTATGGATCCTTATCTGGGCAATTAACTGTTACATTTTTAATAATGTTGTATAAACTTAACTTTATCACAAACCATACAAGAGTCGGAAAAGCTTGAAAGATAATAAGATTGACTAACAGTTCAGGCATTGCATCATTTTCATTTCCTTCTTTGCAGCTCCTTGGTAAGAAAACTGTTCAACATGACAGGTTTTGCTGGAGGGCCGATTCAACTCTCCAAAGACCTCAGTTAAACCTTCATTCGATCAGGATTCCACTGAAATGTGAGGAAATGTATTCAAGAGAAGCTGTGATAGGGTTATTTCTTAAAGAGTGTAAATAGCTCCCTGGGTTTACACCTGCTCATTTATATTGATCATTAAAAAAACACAAACAGAGGATAAATAAAATATGACAAGTGAGAGTGAGGGAAATACAAGAAACACTTCCCCCTTGTGGTCACAGTGAGTACTGCAGCAATGGCTGCCTTTGAGTCATCCTACTTCTGAGTTAATTTATCAATTATGTCCATTCTTTCAAGAGTCAAATTTGGAATCAAACATTTTTGGAATATCTAAGTTTAAAAACATCTCTCCATGTAGGTCTTTAATTTTACCTCATTTGATGAGAAGCTTTAACAACCTTGATGTGAACTTGTAGTTTTCTGTGTTGACGCTCCAGGCTCAGTGAGTGAGCCATTCATGAATCACAAACCAGAAGTGCAGCCATGAAAAGAAATGACATCAGTGACATTCAGAGAGTGGTCAGAGAGTGGAGTGGAGTTTAGTGGAACACAAGCCGCTGCTGGTATGCTCACAATGTTTCACAATGAGGGTCCCAACCACTGAGGAGCTGCGAGGATTTACCTACAAACAGAACTCATGCATTTTAAGCTTCTCTCCAGATGTGAAATAAAACAGGGGTGGTGCAAAGATGAACAATGCAAAAATAAAATATATATTATAACCGGAATAAAGAATGTTTCATGCTGTTACATACAAAACTTAACTTACAAGTTTTTTTTACTCTTCCACCGAAGAAAAATCTGCGTGCATTTACTCAAACACTACTGTATTTTTATTTTGTGTTACATTTGACATCTACTGCAACACATTGTAGAGATAAATGTTACTTTACTCCTTACATATAGAATAAAATAGACTCTTCTTCAGTTTTGTTAAACATTTTGCAAGAAATGAAAGCTGTGGAATGAAAAGTCTGATTACCTCTCCCATCGTTGCTCTCCAGGAATAGCAACAGTGAAATTGCTTTTATCAGTTTTGCAAGGAATAATAAGGCCGTAATGCTGAAGCCCAGAGGAAACGTATGAAATATTAAGACACCATGAAAAGGATTCATAAAGGAGAGGTGCAGGGAAAGAATTTCTGGTAGTTGCAATTAAACAAAGTTTTTGCACATAAAAGTAAAAAGAAGAACAAGTAAAGGTGAGAACAATGACCATGAAGAAGAGCAGATTTTCAGTTATTTTGTGATTTTTTAAAAACACGGCCTCTCAGAGATTTGCTCACTTACTTGAAGCTTGATCAAAGACACACTGCAGTGTATCACACATGTAAACCCCCATGAAGGCAGTGTATGCATGTAACCCCCCCCCGTAACCCCCCCTTACCCCCCTCTCCGTCACAGAGCACATATTAGAGGCCATTTGTTCTGCACTCTGGTGTTGATGGTGTAATCTAAGGTGTTAATGATGACTCACATTTGGAAGGGGAGAACAAACAGGTACACACCTCTCAGCCAGCCCTTAAACACGCTGCATACCGTCAAAGAACAGAGACCCTCAGATGTGATCAAAGTGGGACAAAATGCAAGTTACTCTGCATTTGTATTCGCTGTTATCGAGGAATTAAGTTGTTTGTGTCGGGTTTTACTTAATTTATTGGATATGATGAAGAAGAAAGTGACATTAAAGACGGATGAAATCCTCGTTCCCTCTGCTCTAATGACTCATATGCAGCAGGCTACATGAGTGATTACAGCAGAGTGAGATGATTAATGGTATCAGCTGACCTCTATAAGGTTTCTAAATGTGAGCTCCACACCTTGTTAGCCGCCCCCGTGTGAGACACTTTTGTCACATAATAAATAACTCAACCTTTAATTGTGATGGAACCTTCTTCTTTATCTCATTATCATGCAAACGTACGCTCACTCTAATGATTAACATAGCTGTTCTATTTAGAGCAGATGATGCATTTTCCTAAAAGTTACTTACACTCCAAACAATGACAAATTTCACGTTACACACTGTAAAAAATGTAGCTGAACTTTAGATAGAAAAGTTAGATTCTGGGCTGCCTTATAATTTTAAGTAGCATGCAAAATAAGTTAAGATTAATTTGTGTTAATTCAAAACAAAACAAAAAATAACTTGTAATCTTGATTTAACTTGCTTTTACGAGTTGTTTTCTCCACACAGTGTTTCCTTCCTAAAGTTAGCCAGGGACCCTCTAGCTGTGAGCCGACAGCAGTAACCACTGCTCTATATGCGTAGTTGCCACTGTAACTTTGCTAAATGTTGCTTAGTGCTGTGCTCATGATGGATTAACGTTTGGTCTTTTACCTGCTTTTTGTGAAAAGTCTTGAGATTTGTTATGAATTGGCTCTGATTGTTTGATGGATTGATAGGCTGTAGGTTTCAATCTATATAGGTTGGAAAAGTTAACATAAATTGAGATGACATGAACACAAAATATTGAGTTATCACAACATTTACAATAACTTCTAGTTCCACTGACAATGAATTTGAAGTTAGCATGACTAATCGTTTTTACAGTGTAATAATGACAACTGCTTGGACAAATAGATTGCGTTACTTTTTGTCTTTAATTTCTTCAAAAATATTTTTTTAAATGCTATTACATTTGGGAACGTCTGTTTTTTGGTTATATTTTTTGTGACCATTTATTGGAGCGAAGTCATGAGAGAGAATTTGAGGAAATTTTGTCTCTTTTTTAATTTTCACTATTTTAAAAAAATCAGAATTTGTGTTTGCATTTATTCCTTTTTTTTTAAATGTTAGCGTATGTCCTGGCTGATTATAAAATTCAAAAGATATCTTAAGGAAACAGAAGAAGATAAAGATGAAGATCACCCAAATACAAAAATAGAAAACTCTCAAACTTTTATACAAAACAGTAAAATATTTATTGTTCACAACAACATGAAAAGTAGGAAATTAAACAGCATAAATACCATTTCATGTTGGAATAATACAACATTACATTAACTGTCAGAATTAAATATGTCTCATTGGGTTATAATAGCATGTATAGAATAAATGGGAATTTACATTACATATTTACAATCTCATGTACAGAATAAAAGCTGCTTGTCCTCACAGAGAGGATCCCTTATCTCTTCTTGTTGCATATGCAGCTGCTGTTTGGTGGCAATATATCCAACAACAAATAGTCCCTCACAGGACTTGGTAAACCGGCCTTGATCCGGGGCTCTCCGGTGTGCACGGCTGCGAGTCAGAGCTGCCGGGGGAGTAGGTGGACGCCATGTCTCGCATAGCCGCCGGGCCGCAGCTGGACCCCACCGAGGACAGACGGTCAACGATGCTGGAGAGGCACTGCAGACTGGAGGCTCCGACTGACTTATCGCCCAAACTGTCTGAAAAATGAAGAAAAAGACGGGATCAGTCTGGATTCAAAATGCAGTGATAGAAAAGTACCATAAAATAGGACAAAAGTTTACTAAAGAATCCAACTGTATGTGTTTTATGACTTTTTATTAAGTTTTAATATGCTAAATCTGTTATCATAGCAGGCGAAAAAAGACAATTTAAATATCTACCATCCATATTTGTGCAATGTTTGCATGTATGCAGTCATATTCATATCAAGCTGTTTATTTTGCTGGGAAAAGGTCTTACCATTCTTTGCATATGAATAACTGTCGCTGTAGTTTGCATTCATCTGTTGCCACAATGGACTGTTGCTGTCAGCCTGCAAGGAAAAGAAAACTCTAATTTAACCTTGAATTCCTGCAAAACGGCACTGAAAAGAAAACCTGAAAAAAGACATAAACTTTTATGTTTTTGGAAAAAAAAAAAAAAAACTAAGGGAAAGGTAGGAGCATTAAAAAAAAAAAGACAAAAACAACCCAATGCCCTTCATGTTTGTCTCCACAGACTAATAAATCCTGAATTCCAAAGTTATGGGGCCTTCTTTATTTCACATGCACCTTAAAGCTAAAGTGGCAGTGTGTGTGTGTGTGTGTGTGTGTGTGTGTGTGTGTGTGCGCGCGCTCCCCTTCTCCTGCCCGCTCCGCTCCGAGCGTGGCCAATCGATTGTATCAGTGGAAGCAACACCAGTTTGTGCAAGATGACACTTTCTCTGAGTAAATCTGCAGAAAATCCTGGCAGCGGTGCAGAACATGCAGGCAGGATGGAATGCAGAAACGCACCCCGGTTTTCCCTGCCAGACTTCGGCAAGGTGGATTTAGTTTGGTTTATTAGGGGGGGCTATAAAATATCCGGTGGTGGGAAAGCCATTACTGCATCTAGAATGATAAGTTTCTTTTGTTTCAGGGGATACACTGTCACCTTCAGACTGTTCTCAAAAGCAACTAATTCATCCTGACTCGTAATAAGAAGCGATACTCGCAGAGGGCAGAGATGCATGTAAGACTGCAGAATAGATGTTTGCATTAAAGAATTACAGGAGCGTATGACATGCATGGCAAAGCAGGGTAATTGAGGTTGTAAGGCTAGGCAAGCTTATTTGATTGAAAAGAGAAAATCAAATAAGAAATCCTGTTTCTGTTATGAAAAGATATAATGAGAAATGTAGAGCTGTTTGAGGCTGAATTGAAAGATTCTAGAGATCAAAAGGGGAAGTTTCTACAAGGTAAAGTCCTGTCTTGCATGCGGTTGTGGTTCTTTCTCTGCAGGGACCCTTAAGATTCTGTAAACCCCGATGTTTGAGGCTGAGGGTGTGGATCTTACCATGCCGTCCGAGCAGTTGGACAGTGGGCTCCCCGGCTCGGAGCTGCTCTCTCCAGGTAGGCCGTAGTAGTTCTCCACCTGCTCTCTTAGCAGATCCTGCAGGCTCTCGATGTATTGGATGGCGTTGCGGAGGATCTCAACCTTGGGCAGCCGTTGGCTCGGGTTGGCCGAGGTGCAGCGCCTCAAAGCCTCAAACGCGTGGTTCACCTTCTTCAGCCGCCTGCGCTCCCGCATCGTCGCGGCTCGTCTGCGGTCCGTAAAGTTGGACTTGCGCTTGCAGGCTTTGCAGGCCCATTGGAGGCAGTGTCCTGGCTGGTGGGGCGCTCCGGGAACCCTGACATGCTCGTCCTCCTCGGAGCCGGTGAGCTCCCCGCCGTGGCCGAACTCCAGGCTGTCCGGAGAGGAAGCGCACGCTCGGTCATAGTAGACCTGGGATGGTGAGAAGACATCCATTGCTTGTTGGGGTTAGAATGGAGACAGGGATGGGCGCAGAGGAAGAAAGGAGTGTGTTAAGAGGAGACCTCTGAGTGATATGAGGGGTCTGTTGCCCCGGGGGCCCCTTATATGCCCCCAGGCCAGAGCCCAGGGCCCACATTGGCCAGCTCTAATTACCATGGCCCATTGGCCCAGCCAGAAGGCAGGCTGGGGTTAGCTCAGCTCCCTCCCTGCCCCATCTCACCCCCCAGTACCCTGCAGAGTTTCCCACATCTGCACTTACTGGTGTTTTCCTACTCATCACCTCCCATCTCTCCTTCCAAAAACCTTCCTCCTGCAAGGCCATGATGAGTACGATGTTTGGGAATGTTTCATGAGTGTGGGGGAACATTTGTAGGTTTACCCATCACATTACCCTTTTTTAAAAAAAAAAGTCGACACAAGTTCTTCTTTCCACTTGATTTATCTCTAACTGACCTCCAGGCGTCGTGTCAAAGCTGGACGTGAAAGTGACACTCAAATATGAAGACATAAATATCAAAGAGAGCGCGTTTTGTTTGGTCAAACTGTGCAGAAAAGTAGGGCCACCACTTGTAGGAGTATGTGGGCCGATTTTTTCCGCTGCAGACAGCAGCGTTGCAGATGCAGCCCAGCTGCAAAGGAAGGTGTAACATTTCAAACCCTGTGAATTTCGCATTACAATGGTAAGCCCCCTCTAAACACCCCGAGATCATCACTGAAGGTGCTGCAAATGAGAGGATCCCTGTTTGCCAGAGCTCATTAAAACACTCATTACACAATTGACACCGCTGCACAATTCCCTGCACCACTCTGCCTCGGAGGGCCAAATTTTGACCATTAAAAGTTATTGACACAAGACAAGTACTTCAATCCAGCAGAGAACAGATGGTCATTATGGTGCAGGAGTTTCTATTCAAGGGAAGTATACTTCAGGGGCTTCAAGCTATGAGGAAGGCAAAGGAGTTTAGAGTGCAGACAGCACAGACTGACTTTCATTTGATCCATTTCCAACAAAATGAAAACAAAGTCTTTGTAAGTTAAATCATATTTAGATGTTTTAGACTTTTTTGTTAAGTGCCATTTTCTTCATTTTCAGGGATTCTGCCTCACAACAGATGTATACAGGCATAATGGTGCAGTAGTTTTCCTACAAGTAGAGGACTTGATTGGGTAAAGCAAAGAGAAATTAAAAGTTTCTTGCAGTGCAGAAATCCCACCTCCATTTTGACCCCCCCCCCTCCCTATTTTTCTTACAGGATGAGAGTACAATTGAAACACAGAAAATGATTTTCGCATTTTTTTTTTACAGTGAAAATCAAAGTATAAAGATTTTTTTGGGACTTAAAACAAATATTTGGCTTCTTAACAGAGAAAATCAAACGATACAATTATTATTCAAAGTAATATATGTTTTTTTTTATTTAAATGAATATGCTGTCTTTTCAGGTCTCAGATTTAGAGGCTTTCATTAAAGAGGAGAACAAAGTAGGTGATTAGCATATTAAAATAAAGCGGTTTGAAATGTAAATTTTTTACAGTGTAACTCAATCCATATTGAGACGTTGGGGTTTTTATGAAGTGTCATTTTGCCTCAGTCTGTTTCGTTAAAAGACTTTTCCCCATAATTACACATGGGGACATTTTACACTGCACTGGAGTGAATTTGAAATGCTTCAGAAGACACACATTGTCAGACTGAAATCAGACTTTTTAACGAGCAACCCGGAGCAGTTTAGGTAATTATGTTGTTGACAGCTTACAAGGCTACAATGCGGATATTTCTCACAATGTGTCAAAGCGTTTGGCGAGCCCCCTGACTCTGGGAACAGCGCGCACCTAAGAAAACAGCGAGCGGGGACCTGCTGCCTCTGAATTGCAGTCCGAGTTTGGATTAGGCACAGCTGAAGAAGACATCGCGAGTGTAGCTGCAGAGAAGATCAAAGGCTGTTTGACGAGGACGATGAGAAAACCTGCTATCAACAGATAGATTATCAAGGCTGGAGATAGATTTACGCAGCACATGGTTGTATTAGCGTGTTTTTTTTGTTTTTTTTTACTTTTTACGCACAGTCCGGCGCTGTGATCCGTGCGCGCACTGCTGGTCTCTTGGGAACACTCTGAGTTTGCTTTTCTGTTGTTCTCAGGGGTCAGAGACAGAGTTAAGTGAAGGGCAGGGGGTGATCCTTTATGTGCATCTCCCTCACGTCTGAAAACCTTATTTCTTCTAAACGGCCTCATGCTTTAACATTATGTGCTGACTGTTTGGTGCAACACAAGCCTCACTGACACTGCCGATTCATCACCAACATTCCTGCAACAAAAAAACCTTGAAGCTCCTGTGGGTGAAATTGAAGCCTTAATTAATTACTTTGTGGAATTTCACTCCAAAATTATTGTTGGTGAAATTAACATCAATACAATTGTATAACTCACAAAATACAAAGTCAGTTTCAGACAAGGAAATATCTATGAATCAAGTTAAATAAAACATATTTTTCAAAGCTGAAGTGTTTATTGTTTAACACCATTTCCCATATTGCCATGAAAAAGTATGGTGACCTATGATGGCCATAAACCAGATTTTACAGAGTATATGTTTTTAAAGACGAAGACAATACAAATAGAATTACAGTATAAATAAGTTTAAATGAAAATGATCACTTAGAGTTTGAGGAAAGACACACCCACAATACACTTGATTGACAGCTTAGATCTATAAAGGAAAGGCTACAACAAAATAGAACAGAATAAGGCAAAGAAAGCAATATATATATCCACCTATCTATCTAAACTAGGGCTGTCAGTATTAACTAGTTAGTTGTGATGAAATTATTGCTTTCCTTTTTGATAAAAAATGTAAATAAATCAATAACATATCATACTGTGTCCATATTTATTGTCTTTGTCTATTTTAGATTATTCCATTGAACACCGCTTTAAAGACTCCATACTAAGGTCCATTTTTAACTCTGCCACAAAATTGGCTTTAAACCATTTTGAGTGGCACCAGCATTTGTTTGGCAGCGAGCAGACTGAGGTGAACGGCAAGACGTCTCTGCAGTGAATCCTTTTCCTCGCAGGATATTCAAGTTGAAGTCTGGATAAATCGGAGCGTTCAACCCCTTCAAGCTCACCTTTCATCAGCTATAGGATTTTTAAAACACTGCCTTCACAGCCACATGAGGATTATATGGTGTCATCAGTAACACCGAGACCCCTGTAAAGTCAGAGCAGAGAGTCAGGGCGCTTTAAAGAAGACGGTAAGGACCAAAAACACAACAGAAAAAAGGACAATATAAAAAAAAAGGTTAATATACAAAATAAACAATAATTGAATCTCAGGCTGTATAATAAGAACCAATGTCGAACCAAAAGGCCTTTTCTTCCACCACAAACTGTGATTGTTGTCGTTTCTGCGTAAATTAAGTCATTACCAAACAGACAGTCAATTAACAGATACCCCTGGAGCTGCAGAAAGTATCGCAGTAAAGCTGCTATCAGATGGAGCGAGCGCGCAGGAGACCATTAAAATCACATTACTGTTTCAGGATATTATGTTTCCGTCTGCTTTCAGGATATTTGGTCAAAGATATGAATAGCTCTGTTGAAAACAGCCACATAAGAGCCCCGGATTACTGCTTTTATTTTTTATTTTTGTTTTAGGTCTGTGGAGGAGCAAGAGCTCATATCCTTTACTTCAATAACAGCAGTAATACAAACTCTCTCCTTGCAGCTTTTTTTTACAAGCAGGCCAAGATGTGAGACAAAAATGGAGGAAGTTAAGGAAGTCTGCATCCATGTATTTACTTTAAAACCTTTAAAAAAAAAAGCTTTCATTGCTGGATTGTTCCATCAGGTTCTTTATCTTCTGGTAAACCTGAGACCTGCGACATGTTGCACATACATAGTTTGTTAGTTTGTGCATGCCTGAGAAATGATGCAGATTCCCAGAGGTCAGCCAGGGCTCTGTGTCATCCACAGAGATCTGAGGAAGAGCAACACCCCCCAACATCATCAACAAACGCCCCTCCCTCTCATGTCAATACACCACAAACAAGACTCAATGGATTTACATACCGTGAGCATCACGTCACTGTTTTATTAGCTGGCCTGTAAACACTTTGCTGAAGCAGGCGATGATGAATTCAGGGCTAATGACTCACATAACTTCATCATCCCAGTGGGGTTTGCGCTCTGGGCCGAGTGCCCAAAGTTTCCATGTCTGATCATATGCGAGGAGAGGGGAGGCTTGCCGTGTTTGGAGGGGGCTCGAGTTACTGTTGCGGAATCAGGTCTTGAAAAGAACGGGCAACTTGGTTAATCGTGAACTATTTCAGAGAAGTTGAACAAGTTTTATAGACTTCTAACAGTGGTGAATGCTACATTTTGACCTCTACTGTGTATAAATATGTTAAAGCAGGCAGGAAACCTTTGTTCCTGGAGTGAGAGTTTAAAGATTCTTAAAGTCACATTGCCGAATATAACATCTAATTTACATAAAGTTAGCATATACAAAGTATTTGAAATGACCTTCAATCTAAAATTCATGTAATCTAAGTTTCTGTAAACTTTTCTGATATTGTGTAGGAATTGATCGTGGTTGACCTCAAATATGACAACGTAGATCAAGGGCAGCTAGTTTGCTATATATGCCAACGGTTAGCATTGTTAGCGAGCTAAGTATGAAAGCAGGCAATGTTGATTATTGACATCCAATGGTGTATAGTGGCTGCAGAGGACTACTGCTATTACACTTTACAATATAGCCCTAGCTAATACTTCTGAGGCAACTTTAGCTTTGCACGAACGAGAGAAACATTTACAATTTTGGTAAATCTCAGCTTATAGCATACACTGCTAGCATAGCATTGCATACTGCTAACTTTTTTTTTTTTTAAACTTTTACCATTTCAAAGCTGATATCCAAAGGCTTGGACATTACAGAGACAATTGGTGCCTCTAAAATGACTAATTTTCCTGAATGTCCTCGAAGAATAAGGAATACAGTGGTTTTGAGTATTGCAAAAGTAGCTTTTTATTTTCTTAGTAAGTTATGTACAAATACTTAAACACAATATCAGCCTTCTCAAAGAGTTTCTGTGCTTCTGAATATAAAATAAATAAATCTAGAAATCACATCTTTATAAAATATGTACAAATTTGTAGCTTCTGCTGTAAAAATGAAGACACATGGAAAGCAGAATGGCTTAATAAATAGTGGAAATACCTTTCAGATAATAATGGAAATTTTAAATTTTAAATTAAGTCAAAATCTTCACAATTGATGTTTCAGTTTTCTGAGATGTCCTCGCTGATTTTGGCTTTATCGTCGTTGTTGATGCTGTCCACAATGGATGACAGGCGCAGGAGGCTCGAGGATCCTGTACTCTCACCGTTTACTGAAAAGGGAAAAAATATAACTTAGTTCATTCTTTGTACACTTTTTCCAGTTTCCTCCACCCTCAGGGTGAAAAGCTCAAATGCTGTTATAATGATGTACAAATTAGTTTTGAGGCTGCGAGCTATATAAATGTTTAGAGAATTAAATTGTTATGATTTCACTGCTTCCCGATAAGTCAGCAACAAAGAGGACAATGGAAAGTGAAAATCTGAAGCGAGGCCACATTTCAAGGTGTAAAAAGACATTTGATAAACCCATTATCTATGATAAGACAAAAGCTAATGCCAGCATTCAACCATTCTCTTTCAAACATAAACATTAGCTAGATATTTAAGCTGTTCCTAATTGCACCGCCAGCAAACAATGGTGTTAGCCAGGAAGTGGTTGAATGCTAACCCTTCTACATTCATAAGACAACAAATAGACAGCACAACATCAAAAAAAGGGGACGAATTTAGCATTTAACCTTTTAGAAGTTAGCATTACTCTCCTGTAATTACTGTTAGATGCCATTGTTTGAACCATTCCTATCTTCTTTTAAACCACTAGGAAAAAATAACGTTAGCTAGGAATTGGTTGCTAACATGCTAGTGCTTGTGAGTTAGTATTGAATTGAGATAGCTTGAAATTTTGGTCTAATGGCCATTCCAGTTTTTACTGTCAAATGTCTTTTTGGTTGCTGAAATCCATCAAGAATTGGTGAAATTATTTGACATATTTCCCTTCGATCATAAAATACATTTATGTGTGTTTTACTGTCTATTGTAAGAAGTCTAACGGACGCACCTTCTCTCTGGTTCACAATGGCTGCAGTGGAATGATCAGCAGAGGTCGGCCAGGACTCCGAGGACTTTTTCCACTGGTAGTCGTGACCGGACACCTATAATAACACACGTCGAATAATATCCATTACATGCAATTCATGGTTAAATATTAAGACAAAGCAATGCTTCATCAAATGGTAAGATCATCTAGAATCAGTGCTCATATTATTTGCAGACATGAAAAGGAAACAGAGCAAACAAAGGTTGGGAAAGTAATTGGAGGACTATCTAAAATAGAAAAGATGGTCAACATTAGTAGCAATAGTGTTGGTATTAATAGTTGCATACGTATTTAGAATTACACTGTAAGTTCCAAAAGACACAAGTTGTAAATGTATCACTATGTCATTACAAGCAACGCAGAACTATTATGAATATTAGAGCCATCTTTAGACATTATGAAGTCATCTAAATACCACTGGCACACTAGAAAAAGGCTCATAAGGAGGATCATGGGAATACTAGGACATGTGTTTTCCGGACATGTGGTATCCAATGACAGCTTACACTGTGTCCTTTAGCGTCAAAGTTGTGTGAAGATCCATTTTGCATTTTCTCTTGCTCATCCAGAGTCTGCAGCAAGTCCTGCAGCCTCTCGATGTAGCTGATGGCACTGCGTAAAATCTCCACTTTAGGTAGCCTCTGATTGGGGTTGGCAACCGTCTTTCTCTTGAGCGCCTCGAAGGCCTCGTTGATCTTCTTCAGCCTCCTCCTCTCCCTCAACGTGGCCGCCTTGCGTCTGTCCGTGGGCGCTGACTTCCTCTTGCAGATCTTGCAGGCCCACATGAGACACTGGCCCTCGCAGTGCGAACGGAGACCCGGGGGTGCGAGGACGTGCTCCTCCCCGCTGCTCTCTCCCCCGGTCTCAGATGGAATATTATCCTCATTTAGCGGGCTGTCGTTGCCGTTGTAAAGCGGAGACACCCCCGCCATGTCCAGGTGCTGCAATGGTCCATGATCTCCGTCTTCCAAATAGCGCAAATCATTGAAAAGATAAGTGTTGGTCTCAAAAAGGTCCATCATATTGTGGCGCCCCTCTCTCTGTTTTGACAGTGGGACTCTGTGGCATTTAAACAGAGCAGCAGGGACACAAGTCACCAGGATTATATATAGAATGTGAAACTCTATCCAACACTTGGGCTGTCACACCGCATCAAGGATCTTTTTTTTCAATGGCTCTTTACAACCTGTCTGACTTTAATGTAGGAAACGTACGTACACACATACATATATTAAGAGCTCCAGAAGCTATTGAAATGTCACCTCAGGTTTCATGGCAGGTGCTTTAAATATCTGCAGCCGGAACAATATAGCAACACAGAGATATTTGCTATAGAGCTGCCACTAAGGAGGGAAAGTGAAAGACATTATGATGTTGTTCCAAAGTTGACAAGCCACAGCCGAATGTTGAAGGTGGTATTGGTGCCATTTTACACACTTAAACACAATCATGTATATCTTCATGGGGAATAACCTGATTTAAATATGAATTAAGTTTGCTGTTAGAAATATAAAGTTACCTCCTTTCAGCTAGTTATTGGACCTTCTTCCAGTTGACCTTTTAAGTCACATACAAAACAATCAACAAACAAGTTAGCGAGCGAGCGTAGTGGTTGTATATCCAACCGTAAAAACATGGATAATTTAACAGATCTGCATATCTTGTACCCAGGCCAGTTTGAGTCTGATGGAAGTGTATACATGCCAGAGTCAATCGACCACCAGCTGCATTATCTAGATGTGTGTTAGTCTGACTAACAGTCTCTATAACATGACTTGAGTGTAGTAAAAACGACACGTTATTGTGAAGTGTATCGATTCCATGTTTACTGCTAATAGTATTTCCGACACCCTGACAAATGATGTAAAGCACCCGTGACTCTCAGCCTTCCACAACATCGTAACAGAACCCTGGGTTGGGCAAGGAGGGGAAGGGGAGGGGAGGGAGGGGAAGGGGAGGGGAGGGAGGGGGGGCATCCGCAGGGTAAAAGTAAAACCCTCAGTCATACAAAAATAGGATTCCCTCATATTCACTCCTGTGAAGATTCCAATTGTGGACCTTTCAAGGTTGCAGCAGAAATGCTCGAGGCTATATATCACCTCCTCACCGACTTTAATCTCCTTTATGAATCTGAGATGAATGTGCCACGTTTCTATTTATAACCTCCCACGCATGTGCTTCTCAAAGCTGTTTTGACTCTGCACATTCCGGTCGATCTATGTTGGGATTTCTAACAGGTTACAACTGAACATACCATTCCCCAGCGGCTACACCAAGGCAAACACATTGTAAACTATGCACAGCATTGTATGGTCTGTGTATGGGATAGGAAAAATACCCAGTAAGCATGACATAGCTTTACTTAAAAAAATAGCAAAACACATTGAGCATGGGTTTATGCTTCATTGCTAAGTAATAGGCCATACATAAGCATACAATTTTGGGGTTGCCGGTGATACTCTAGGATTAACTTGTCATTTTAGGTAGCATTTCTACAATCAGCAGTTAAATCCTTCATTAGTGGACCGCATGGGGAGCACTGAAATTGATCTGTAAACACAAGCACACTGGCATAGTATCACCTTTTAATTGAATATGTCTAGCTTGTTAAAAGATAATGGCTTATTTACCCATTTAAGTAGATAAGAACAACATTAGCATTCGTTCCACGTCATGTTTTTGTCCATCTTAGTAATGTTGATCTACTTTTCTCTCCCCCTCCATGTACCTCCTCGTACTCCAAGCAGACAGAGGTAGAGAACATCACTGAACAAAAGCAAAAGAATGCTGCAGTGCAATGCACAAACTATATTTTCTCATACACTCAAATGAAAACTTTTATTCAAACTCTATTTGGTCTTAATAACTAGGCTACACTCTCGAGAAGACTGGAGTCGTGTCCCTGCTGTTCACCAGTGGTGCATTCGCTCCCCGGGGCTACTGTGCATCCTGAACTGGACCGTAAATTCCCGTCAGTGTCAAGGGGTTGACGCTTCAGCTGTCAGGGAGAATCATGGGATTGCCTGAGTAGAAACTCAAACTGGAGGATCTGGCCTCTCAGGCGAGGAGGTGGAGTCAGGATGGACTGTGGGAAGTGTAAATCTGTCCAGAATCCAAAGAGACTTGGAGTCAACAGCTCTGCTGACTTAAATTTGAATTTAAAAACGATGAAAACTTGCACTGGACTATTTGAATAAGCTGACACATTGAAGCCGTTTCGGGCCTTGTACAAACACAAGGCCAAAGATCTCTTACTCCTGTGTGATATATTTTGTCCCGTTATACAAAAGTTTTTAGTCTAATGGAAGTAGTAAAAATCCATAGTTCTACTCAAGGTAATGAAATGTGGTCTTCCTTTTGTTACCTGTAACAACCCCAAACCAGGGAACTTCAAGGAAACATCATGTCAGAGAGTGACTTCAGTGACAAGTGGATAGAGTTTACAATGCATCATATGAAAAATTGTGTTGTGATACCACATGATTTGAGTCGGGGCAATAGCAGGTTTTTCATGGTGTTAGTCATAAAGTCTCAATGGTCAGTGCCCTATTTACACCAATAAATGTAATCATAAGCTAGTTGGTGACTTGTGTACTGTCTGTTGTTGATCTGATACCATCTTAAATTTCCTTACAGATTAAAAAAATCGAAACATTGCAAGCCAGCAGGTTCATGTTGTCTTACACGTCATGACCATGTGTTTTTTCTCTCTCCAGCAAGTGTTAGAAAGGGGATCCAGTTAGGACCAGTGCTGACATGAAGGTCACAAACAGAACTGATAATGAACATGAACTGTAGGACCTCGTCTTTCTCCGCCCCACATCACACACCTCTTACCACCCCCACCTCCGCCCGAGCTTAACTGCACCTCCTGCCTCGGACAGGCTACACACACTCATTGGGCTGTTTTAGAGGAAACTCTAATCCCTGTGACCGACGCACCGTATATAACCCTGTTCCACACCTGGGATATGAATTAGCCTATCAAGGGTTAAGTACTCTAGTCATGGGCCCGATGACAATGCCTCACCTGGGGTCTCAACACTTTGACCTTAAGGGTCGCCTGGTCCTGACTCAAACAGAGGCTGGTGGAAAAGAGTGTTCATATCTCAATGAAGTCGTGTATTTTAATAGTGGTGCTGTGTTAGGACATTATTGATGAATGTTACATCAAGAGATCAGTCCAAAAGAAAAATGAAACGTGGATGGATCTTTTCTATGCTTTTTTATTGTTGTTTCTATTTCCCCTCTGTCAGTGTGATAAATACTTAATTAAGATGTTTTAAAAGTAATAATTCAAATCTATATAGAAAATAATAATTGGTGTCATACACTACCGGCCATGTGCTGCAGAGGCCAATAAAATATGCAACAGGTGGTTACAATGAGCAGTAAATTCCTCCTCTTCAGCTACACTGCTTATTAGCCGGTTTCATTACCAGCCAGAAATAACTTCAGATGTCAAACCAGTTCATGCAATTATTAGAAGAAGTAATCTTCCTCAGCAGGACTGTCGTTCATTTGCAAAATCCATTTAAATTACAAAGATTACTTTGCAATGAGTAAGACGAGTAATAACATGCCACTTACCTAAAACTTAGGTGACCTGGAAATGTAATTTCCTTTTTTTCTTGCCACATGGGAGAACTGTCAGTTAAGTTTATCGAGAGTATGTTTGGGGATCTTGGCACAAGAAAGGACAATTTATTTTACAGCCAGGTTGGGCAGGTTGCCCAAATGCAAGCTTCAAGAAAGCCTTTTCTTTTGCAGTTCCACACACTATGTTTACAAAAAGTGCATCCGTAGTTAAAGCTGTGTAATGTTCATGATGTGGAGTAATACAGCTTTAGGGCTATATGCACTGACTCATAGGCATAAAATCCCTTCATGCACATGGCAGGAGGAGTGCCAGTCTAGGCTAATGTCTTGCACAAACAATGGCTCCAAAAGCTCTGAGAGAGTCAGGAGCGGTAACCAGTATGATACCATCTCCCATTGAAAAACAGAGCTAATCTTTTTGGCCTGGCTCCCTCAAACGAACAGACCAGACTCAACAGTGGTCAAACAAAGCGGGGAGTAAACTGTCTCTGGAGCTAAGCTAACAGACGGCTTGTCTCACTCCTGCTCTGAGCTGCGGGTTAGACGGGTGGGTTTGGGTTTCAAAGGCGGGAGGGGAAAGCAACGCTGATGGCATCTGCCTTCTCTCTGGTGGACGACACAGGGATTCAGTTCAAAGGCCTGGCCGGCTGAAGTACATCAATTAGCGAGGGGAAAGAGCTTGCTAGGTTGCCCATTTGCTAGCTAACTCTCTATGACCTCAGAGAATTGCACGATACAAGAGTGTTGCACCCTGGTTTGACAATGTCAATACCGCCTTGCAAATGGACTGGTACTGATGGATTGGCTTAAAGGTTTGTACACACAAATTGGTGCAAAGAATAATAACTCGTAACAACAACTAGCTAAAAGGACTAGCGGGTCTTACCAGCTGTTCTGATCTATTTTTTTTCTGTCATTTTTTCAACAGGTCTCCCCTGTAACAAACACGAAGAAAAGGCTTATCACCAGACAGCCGATGGTGATTTAGTTGGAAGCGATGTGAAGGTCCCTCCTGATTGATTCTGTCCTCGTTCAGGAGAGTGATGGATTAGATTAGCTGTTGGGTATAGTGTGTGTGCGTTTGGTGTATCCTTGTCTGACTTCCAGACAGATCCACTGACTGGGACTTAGAGGGGGCACTGGCCTTGACCTGGCTGCAGACGATAGCAGACCTCTAGTCTGGCCAGTGAGGTGAGACGTTAACCCCACTGCCCTCTGTCTGGCCCTCTGCCTCTCACTCTGGCTCTTATTCATGTACTTTCTGGCAAGTGCCTCAAATCGCATGGTAATATTCGTGAGAGGCATTTTTTTAAAGTGACTGTTATTGCAAAAAAAGTGTGTGAAAATGGAATCAAAATCAAAATGAAGAGAGGCAGTCACATTTGCTTTGATGTCGCCGCCTGTAAACGATATGGTGGAACAT